CTAGAAAAATCAAATAAATTCACTTTATAAGTAAAATGAATGATCTGGCCTTACTCTGTCATTTTGCAGAAGAGTACCATCCTTTAAAATATCAGTTAGAAACAAGAAAAAAAAATTTGGGGGGGTTATTTACAACCAGGAAGCCTCTTCCCTCAGCTGCTGCAGTAAAAGATAAGTTTGCCCAGCCCCCTGCTCTTGTCAGACCATCAATTTGCAACAAACTGTAGTTTCTATCCTCAAAAACCTGGGACAGGTGGTACTCTGATGGATTAGGAAAAATGAAAGAAAAACAAAATTCAGAATTCTTGCTCATTTGGTATAGGACTATGGGAGTATACCTGTGCTTGTGAAGTGAAGAAAGAAGTTAAATTAGTAATGTTTGAAAATGTTTCAAGCCCTGTATCACAGGAGGAGAATGAAGTGCAGCAAAAGTGAATTATATATTGAATTACAGTAGTGATTATAGGTTGACCCACTGCAATGAAGGGCAGCCATCTACCACCATTACTTCAAGTTGTACAGAAGACCCCTGCTATAAAGGAAAGTGATGAACAAGTTAAACTCTCTCTTCTACAATTGTAGAGCGTCTAAGAGTCATTTTCTTTGTCAAGTTCTTTATTGCCTTGAGTACTACCAGCTATCAAAGTACTAATAAAAACTGTGAAATTTAGCCATAGACTAATCAAACTCCTATTGGACTCTAATAGAAAGTTGCCTGCCTCATCAAAGACTGAAATTTGGCCCACAGTAGTTAAATGATAGTGAATTTCAATGATCTCTGGCACTGATTTAAGATGCCCTCTAATGAGAGGGCATTACTTAATTAGCAAAACTTTTGACCCCGTCTGCTGACAAAAGCAATATTCTGCATGAGAAGAGAGAATCCTTGTACATTAGAAGGGAATCTTGAAACCTATTAAGTTCCATAAAATACACTAAGTAGTCTCAGGTATTATACATTACCTCAAGTTCTCCTGCCTGTTTGTGTGTAAGACCAAAAACAAAACCAGAAGAAATGATTACGCAGAGGAAATAGGTAACTACACAAAGCAAAATGGAGAAGTCTTCCCCGCACATACACCTCAGGTGATACTTGAAACCATAGATAATTAAACAATTAATATTGATGTGACTTGATGATGGTTTCCCTTTAATTTGCTTTTAAAAAAAAATGAACTAAACTTACTTGTCATTCTGTTGCTTGAGCGATTCATTCAGCTTTTTCATGGCCTCAGTTTGTTTATTTAGTGAATTACATGTAATCTGCAGATCTTTATATTGTCTTTCAGTGGTTTCATGCCTAAAAGTTAGTTAATGGGTTATGGTTAAGAAGAGTAAGTACTTCTTAAAAGCTTTACTGTGTCAGGAAAGAAGAAATACTTTTGACATCCAATGAGCTATTTTTCCACTCCACTTCCAAGCAAAAATGGTTACCCCCACTTTTGGAAAAAAACCAACAAAACACTTATTAAAAAACCGGCAGGGGATAAAATATAAAAAAAACTAACAGCAACTTTCATCTTAACCTCAATCCTCATTGGAACCCTTACACATTATCATTGATTGTTTATTAAGATTAAGAATTGGATTGAGATTACACATTTCTTTCAGAGAAAGTTCACCACAACCAGGTGGTTCACATAAATGTAGCAAGTTATACATAATCAGACCAGTAACTGGAAGTAGCATGTCTGACAGAGGCCAGACCAATGCTTCAGAGAAAGTACAAGAATTCCCATAATGGACAATTATGGGATTATCTGCACATAGGAGATGTTCCTTCTTAAGGAGTATCTGGTAGAAGTTAGTCTCTGCCTAAAACACAAAGGTTTTTATTTCTTTGACATTTTTTGATCTGGTCTAATCTAACTCTGAATGGTCTCATCCAAACAAGTGCAATACTTTTTTGAATCCCATCAACCTCTTAGCCTAGTTTTTTTTTTGTATTATTAGCTTTAAAGTTGTTGTCTTTATTTCATTAAGTGTCTGTCCCCTTATTCTTGTATTATGAGGACAGGCAAATAGGAGCACTCTAATTGCCCTCTCAGCCATTAATTTTGTACACCTATCATGTCCACTCAACAAACTAGTTCCATTCTTTCTTTACATAGAAATCTTCATTACTCAAATCATCCTCATCCATTCCTTAACTTAATAGCTTTGGAATCTGCACCTTCATCCATCAATTTCTATTTTCTGTTCAAATTACAAACTTTTTCAAACAAGATTAATTTGATCCAAGAACAAATAAAATTCAAGTACATTAGCAGTGACCCTCTTAAAACCTATAAACAGAGTTTTAATACACTGTCCTGCAATATGATTAGCCTAGAAAAAATAGTGCTTTGAACATCTCAAAGCCCTCCTTCTGCTTCAGCTAGATTAGGCACTTACTGGATTCAGACAGAGCTCTACCCTGCATTCCTTGGCTGAAAGGACTAATCAGGTCAAAGTAGGTCCTTTAAGAAGGGCCTGTGAAAACCTATTTTCTCTTTTGATCGGTTATCTATCTGAAAATTTTCTGTTTTAGGTCAGTACACGAGTAGTAAAGATAGATTTTAAGTTCTTACTTCTGCAGAAGATCCACGGAAGATCTTTTCAGTATCTCATATTCTTCAGCCACTGTTTGTAACTTCCGATTGTGTTGAAAGAGCTGCTCTATGTCATTCTGCGCCCGTTCAGATTCTACCTGCTGAGCTTTCAGCAACACATCAAGTTCTTCATTTTTTCGCTCTGCATCCTTCAACATTGCCGCAAGCGTCCTTACCTTTGAGCAAAAAGCAAATACAAAGACTCCTTTACATGCTTGATCTAGGATATGTTGCTTAACTCACTCAAAACAATGGGGAATTTCACATGGAATTAGAATGTACACTACTGCTAAATTATCCACAAAACCTCTATGATCAAATGCTCCATGGTCAGTGCACTATATTTAAAATTAGATAGCAAGTTTTAAGCACGTTTAAAGTTTTGGCAAATGATGACTGAATCAGTTATTTTACACTCTGAGATACAGTAGTAATTTGTGACCTTAAAAGTAAAACAAAAAATAGTTTAGATACTTTTTTAAAGAGTATCTGAAGTGATTACACTGGTGGCTTACGCTTCATTTGAAAGCATAACTCTATCCAAAAAAAGAGTACCGACTGGCTGTTAGCTTGCACATAAACAGGAAAAGGTTCTAGGGCTGTCTGCAAACCCCTAACATTTTAGTACTGTACTTAGAAGTACAGTTTCTCTAAAAGAATGTTCTAGAACAAGCAGTAACATTAGTACAGTAAATCTTATTGTATAGATGGGGAGATTATTGAGGCTGTTCTGAAAGATCAACCATTAATGGGGCATTAACACTAGCTATCCACAAAAGGTCTTATACATAACTCAGCTAAACAGTGGAGGAAGGGAAGGCTTCAAAAAATCACATAAGGTCATACCTAAAGGGCATAAATGTCAAATATGGAAGCTCAAAGAGCTTATAGATATAAGAGGATGAAACTAAAAGAATATTTACAGTAAGTATAAAAAAATTTAGCAGTGACACTAGATTAGAATATTTTCCACAAACAAGTGGTAATCTAATCTTTGTATTTAGTTTTTAAAAGAAACTGAAGTTCTAGCTTAAGACACATGTAGAGAACCATTCTGTACTGGGGCCCCCATGACAGAACACTGGGTTTGGACTAGATGACCATATAAGTATCTTCCATCTCTACCTTCCAGCGTGTGGTTGTTCATACTCACCTCAGATTCAGCTTGGACTCTCTGACAACGGTACTGGGCAATTAGCCTATCAGCCTGAGCAAGCGCTAATGCCTTTGCCTCCAATAGATCTTGTAACCTGGTTTCTTTGGACTAAAGATTAAGAAAGATTAGTAGCACTATTTCATTAATTTTATCTTTCATAGTAAGTACACATACTCAACAGTGACGTAAATACACATGTTCATATGTACTCACGGCTAATGCCGCTAGTTTCTGCTCATAGACATCCATTATGTCAGACATCCTCACATCAGTGATTGGTTCCTTCATCTGTGGGAGAAGTTAGAGTAGTAGAATTCAACAGCCTGAAGATAAATTGTCTAATTTGTAGTTTCTGGATGAACAGTCATTCGTCTTATAGATCTCGATGAGAGAATAGTAATTAAATGAGCCCACAGGCTGGCAGCTGCTCTGCCTTCAAACATTAAAAGCCTTGCTGCATCAACTTGGGTATACCTCAGACTTGTTCAGTTTAATGTAAGAAAGTATTGGAATTACTGAATAAAATTTACCCAATAAAGGGACGATCATAACATCAGCTATCATGATCATAAATTAGTGTTACTCCAAAAATGTGGGAAAACTCGTTACATAGGCTGCTACAATAAGCCTATTGGTTCGGTTGGGTGTGGGAAGCTTAAGTGTTCCTCCTGACAAATGGTATTTCAGTTCTGCAGTACTAGTGGCAGGGCATTATGGCCAAAAATTCTAATCTCAGAATTCATTGACCTCGACAGAGACAGGTCAGAATATTTTGATGAAAACAATATAGAGAAAGTTTTTGTGAAATGTCTCCTCCATCTTTCATTAAGATCCTTTAGCATACTAAAGAGTTTACTGACCTTTATGGCACAATATAGGGCTTATATGTTTATTCAAATGAATATTTGTGTAAACATTTACATTTTTCTATAGTCAGTTGAGTAGTAATTGAGGAGAGGGTCTTCCAGGGGTGTGGTCTGGGGATTGATAAAGCTTTACATTAAGGTAGTGCTTGGAGGTGCCAGTGCCAGTTTTGGAGAGACTGTTCACTGTATGCGGTAGATGCTGCTGCACAAGTGAGCCCAGCTGTTTGTGCTTTTCAGTATAGAAGATAAATATCATCCAATAGTAGTTTACTAACATCTTGTTTTCAAAACAGCACCAGCTCCTACACAGGGGAAAATTAGTTCAAAATTCCCTAATGCAGCAGTAGATCAGACATCTATTCTTTTCCCCATTTGTATGTTTTTCAGCTCTCTCTCTATCCTCTTGGACCCTACTGTTGTTGCTACAAAGTTGAAGGATCATGTGGAGTAAGTACTTTCATTTAGAATTTTATTTAAATGTACAAACATGTCAAAGTCAATGACAAAACATTTGTTGGAATATTCTGTTTTCTGCACATCTTGTATTTAATTTATTTAGCTTCTTCATGTGAAGAACAAACTACATTATAAAAAGATGGCATCTTCTATAGGAGTCCACTTTTCTTCTGTAGCTTGTGTTAAACATTTAAGGCTGAAGTGTTTGATGTTCACGGAACAAATTATCAAATTTTAAAAAGTCATTCCCTCCTCAAAGGAGCAACTCCTCTGATCAGAAGAGTTAAGTGCATCACTAGCTATATGCCAATAAGCTTTCTTTCTGTCAGAAGTTCATCTTATGGTCTGGGTTGCAGGAGCTGTTCCTGTATTTGGAGTCCCTTTGTGTTGGAGAAACCACAGTTAACTTAATGCAACCAATTCTGTATTTGGTGCCTAGACACTGTGGTGATATGCTTTAGAAAATTCAAATTAAAGGAATGTTAATGTAATAAAGCTATTTGCTCAACTTACAATGCATGCAATATCAGAGGGAAGCAAGATTTCCACTGTTGTAAAACGACTTCCCTACCTCACAGGGATGCTGTGAGGATAAATATCAAGATCAGGAGGTGCTCAAATACTACTGTGTTTGGGGGACACATACAAGCATCTAAAAGATGGGGGATTATCCCTGACCCTATATGCCAGAATGTTATCTGCCCTCCAGGGAGTGTCTTTCTGTAAAAAAAACTTCTCCCTTTGTGCATCATTGCAACAGCTTAGATCTTCTGGGCAGGGCCGGCTCCAGGGTTTTTGCCGCCCCAAGTGGCGGGGAAAAAAAAAAATAGCCGCAATCGCGATCGGCGGCAGCTCCACCGCGCCGCTTTCTTCTTCGGCGGCAGCTCCTTTTCTCCGTCCCTGAAGAGCCCGACATGCCGCCCCTTCCCCTTGGCCGCCCCAAGCACCTGCTTGCTGGGCTGGTGCCTGGAGCCGGCCCTGCTTCTGGGACACATCTGCTAAGTCCCCATATCTGAAAGCTAGGTAAACAAACAATACACTCTCAGGGTAAAGATTCTGGACTATGAAAGTCTGGAAGACCAGACTGTTGACTTTTCTGGACACAACAGGGATCCTCTTTATTTGGGCTTCTGCCTGAGAATGTAAGAGCATACATATTGAGTTCAGGTGAGGTGTCCGAGTTAACATTTGTAGCCTAAAAGTTTCAGGTGCTACACCTCTTCTGTAAACACTAAGAACGTCAGTAGTTATCCTACCAGAAATATGAAAAATACTATTAACCTCCAGTCCAGATTGAAGTTTCTGTATTAGCTCTTGAACGTTCGAAGTTGTTGCATCATCATTTGAAGGGTACGAAGTAGAGCACTTCATGGACATAACACTAGTAATGGATGACTGCATATGGATTTTTTTTGGTGCATGCTCTCTCTCTTGTTGTCTATAAGCATTATTTGCTGCAATGCTTTCACCAAGCCTATATAACAAGACAAAAGAAGCAAGCAATAAAACCTGGCAAGAATGTTAATGTGAGGGTAGGAGACAATGATTTTTTGTAAAGAGGAGTCTACAACAATTACACACTACACTTTGAAAACATATCAACCCTACTTGCACTATCATACTGTATTAGGTACTTCAGTTAGATAGGAGTATGAAATATTTTGAGATCTAAAAAGGAGAAATGCTAAAGAAAAAAAACAGAGGTTGATTGTTCACTGATAGCAACTTCTCTCTACAATCACTATGTGAATTTTAAGGTTCTATAACTCTTTATCTACTATATCTAGAAACAAGTGCCGTATCCTATTGGAAAGGATATTTCCAGCTCCTCTCAAATGGCACATCTGTTTCTAGCTATGATAGTTTGAGTTACTGGACTTTAAACCTGTCCGAGAACTGTGAATGTGGCCCAGCATGCATGACAGACCAGCATTGGGGGTGATGAGAAGAAAGATTCAACTACGAGAACAGAAAAAATGTTTTGAAGAAGGTAACAATTACTCAAACATTTGGAACATTAGTAGTCCTAATTAAAAAGATTCAAACACAGACTTTAAACAAGTCACTCAGACTAAAGTGATGAAAGTGAAAGACATCATATTATTACCCCCTTACCACACACAAGAAACTCACACTATGGCAGGGAAATCTGGTAATGGTGCTGCCTCAAACAGTATTCTAAGTCCAGCCTGTACTTGTTCTCTGTGGTCTGATGTTAAAGCAAAAGCCAAAGGTGTAATCAAACGTTGATCCTGAGAAGAAATCACTTATGTCAATTTATAATCAACTAAAGAATCCAGACATTGCAATAGACCGAAGCCAATGTGAATAGATATATATTTTTAAATTTCAGTTACCCTTGTGTTAAAAAACAATAATAATAATTAAAAAAAAGTATCTATACACACATACTTGCAATTTTCTGAAAACCCATTTAGTTAACCAGAGCAATGAACTTTTACAAATCTGCAAAACTTGCTTTCAGGATTCTGTACATTATCTGCACAGAATTATGTAATACGGGGGTCGGCAATCTACGGCACGCGAGCTGATTTTGAATGGCACGCTGCTGCCTGCCGGGGTCCCGCTCAGCCCACTGCCGAACCCCGGCAGCGGGCGGAGCTGGACCCCGGCAGGCAGCAGTGTGCCATTAAAAATCCTGCCCGACCCAGCCTGCTCTTCTACGCCGGGGAAGGGGGCAGAAGCAAGCTTGGTCCTGCCGGCTGCTGCTATAGGGCAGGCTCCGCCGGCAGCCAACCTTCCCCCTCCCCCGCCTCTTCCCCCAGCATGCTGCGTCGAGCCCCATCTCCTCTCCCTCCCTGCCACCGATGGCCCTTGCGAGGGAGGGAAGAAGAGCAGCCCCAGCGCCCTCGCTGCTCAGACTGGTAAGGAGGCGGAGAAGAGGCAGGGGGAAGGGGGGTAGGAGCGGGGCGTATCCCTCCAGGCCCTGCCGTGAGCCGCTCAGGGGGCAGGGAGCACCCTCCTGATCCCAGCCCACCCACCCCAGCCCTCTGCCCTGACCCCTGCACCCCAGCCACCTGCATGCCCCCCACAACCCCATCCCTGATTCCTGCACCCCCTCACATGCCCCCAGCCCTCTGCCCTGACCCCTGCTCCCCCCCATGACCCCATCCCTGACTCCTGCACCCTCCACACATACCCAGCCCACACCTGATGCCCTGACTCCTGTACCCCCTCAGCCCTCTGCCCTGAGCACTGCACCCCCCTTGCACCCCAGATCCTTGCATCCCCCCCACGACCCCATCCCGGACTCCTGCATCCTCCACACATACCCAGCCCCCCCACACCCCCTGCCCTGACTCCTGCACTCCCCACCCTGAGCACCAGGTTGGCAGCAGGCTGAGCGGGGCCGGCAGCTGGGACCCTGGCTGGCAGGAGCCAGTGGACGGAACCCCAGACCGGCAGCAGGCTGAGCGGGGCTGGGGACCGGGACCCCAGACTGGCCCCGCTCAGCCCACCGCCAGT